GTCTACCATGCGCGAGGTCACATCGTCGATGACCTGCTCTACTGCATTCGAGACAAAGGTCCGACATTCTGTTGCGGGTCTTTGGTAGGGCAGATTCAGAGGACCACCGCTGTATGGGGCACTGGAAATGACGAAGAGAATGAGCAGGCTGATACAGAGAAGATGTCAAGGGAAGAATCCCTTACTGTCCAGTAGAAGCATAAGAGGTATAGTCTGGACAAGCCCGACGCAGAATGGAAGGCTCATCGCGAGCTGCAGCTCCCCTTGCACCCAAGCCGGCGGCGAGGGTGACGGCCAGCGACAACGAGCGCATCTTGACGGCTGGTTAGCGGTTGTCGCTGATGATGAGTTTAACTTATGAGGCCGGAAGGTTGAACCAGTGTGCCATTGATCCTTGAAAAAGAATTAGGGGGAACAATGGCATGTTTTAAAGTGGGCGGGTTGGGGAATGACAGGGGAAGGCAGGGGAATGCGGGGAAGAAGATCGCAAACAGCCGATTTCCTCGCTGATCCCCCGGATTCCCACCAGTCTTTCCACCCATCATACCACTCACTCTTGCCCTGCAGGATGCCATTGAACCTTCCGGATTGCACATAGTGCATGGCAGTTAAGCAACTCATTGCATGTTATAACTCGCATCCAGTGCTATCTGCGTTGTACATCTACTAGTCTTGTCATGTCTAGTAATAAAATTCTCCGCTCGATCAAGTGTCTTGATCAGCCGATGGCTCAAGGGTCTTTCCGGTAGTCGCCTGACACCCTTTTTATATTAAATGTTGGCATTAGCTTGTCGATCACATTTCAGGACGGTATTCGCTTAAACATAACATGAACGCTATCATACTACCCTTCGAAGCATTGACTTTGGCGCAGAACTGGATTTATGTCTCCCTGGTACAATAGATTGAATGATGGAGACGCTGATGGCAGTTATCTTCACCTTTCAGAGCCAGCCGCACTCATGACGATCAATACTTTAAAGAAGATTGTTTATCATGAAAGAAGTCACACTAGAGAACGCTGCATATGCGTCACCGATATTTGTATAGTCAAAGCTCTACCCTAATAGTACATGGATTGGGCATATTGATTGGGTGGAAATTGCTATGCCTGTCGAGTGAAAACAGTGAAGCTATATACTATAGATGCAGCGCTGTATGCAAGAACATATAAGCATTGGGATAAGGAGAAATAGCAGACCAGATATTGATGACATGTAACAAGCAGTCCACTGCATCGTACCAAAGGGTATACTGGGTGTGAGTCTAGTCTGGGTTGAGGTGGAGATACCCGGGTTTGACCGGTTCAATGCACTGCATATGGGAATGGCTTCTTGGGAGTGCTTAGGCGCACTAGTCAACCAGCGTATATCGGTCACAACCCCTGGATATGGTATATGAGCCCCAGAAGCAGAGAACAGTCTCGAAAATGACGCGGTTTCGGAATCGTCCGGTTATCCAAGAGCTGTTCACTTCTTCGAGAAGAAGGACATGATGCTACCCTGTCCCGGTTTCGCTGCTGGTTTGCCCTTTGGCGCACTCACAGCGGGCTTCTTCTTGGGAGGTGGAGCTGGCTCGTCCTCTGAGAATGACTCCCAGCTTGGTTCCTCAACAGTCACTACGCAAGGAATAAGTCAGTGATGGCCTTACTCTAGTAACATGTGATAATCTTACCAAGATAACCCTCATCGTCCTTGACTGTCTTCTTCTTCATGACTTGGCGTCTGCCCCTGCGACGACCGCCCTTCACCGTAACTTCTTCCTTGAGTTCAGCCTGTTTCGGCGGCGGCTCGTCGATAGGTTTAGACTCTTCCGGTGACGGTGCAGCATCGGGCATTTCTTCGTCTTCGTCTTCGTCTGATACCAGTCAGAAGAGTTACCGACAATAAGGAGGCAACGTACCATCATCTTCCATCATCTTTCTGAGCCTCTCTTCACGCTCTTTCCGCGACTCACGTGTACCGGCGAATGCGGACTTCCCTGAGTCTCGGAAGAGCTCCTCGGGCTCCTCATCCCCATCTGATGCGTCGTCTAGAACCACTGCTACATATCAGTATGTGTACAACGTCAAGAAAGACAGTAAGTACTCACCATCTTCAGCAGCACTGGGCTCGGCCTACATGATTGTCAGTCACTCAATACAAAGGATTCAGGTAAAGTGGTGGGACTGACCGATTCGGCAGCCGAAGTAGCCGGCGTCTCTGATTCTTCCTTCTTCTGCTTCGGCTTGGCTTTTGCAAAAGAGCTAAATATACTGCCCTTTTGCTTTGGAGGAGCTGTCTTCTCAGTTGGCTTAGACGCTGGAGGGTCCTCGCGTTTCGCCGTTGTCTCCGTCTTCGGGGGCTTGTCTTCAGGTTCTTTCTTGGGTTGTGTTATTTCTTCTTCCTTAACAGGACGCTTAGCTGGAATAGTCGCCTTAGGAGGAGCCGGAGCCTGAGCGGGAGCTGGTACGGGAGGGCGGCCGCCGGTTCTTCTCTGCAGCACAAATCGCATTAGTATCAGAGGAACATGGAAATGCAAGCGCACGTCTTACCCGGACATTGTTGCCCTGGATCATGCCCCAGGTCTTGCCGTATTCTAAGGGATCCTCCTGAGCATGCTTGGCGATCATCTCTCCCGCAACATCTGTCAAGACGTTGAGATCCTGAAGCACTGTTGGCTGAAGGCTGTAGACGTATATCGACGAGATTGACTGGAAAGTCGCCTTGGAATCTGCGCACTCAGTTATTAGACCCCACCCTTTGCGCAACGCAATGGAAGCAATTCCACGTACCCTCCAAGTCTTCCTCTCGTACAAGCACAACCGAGGACGTGGCGATCTCATCCCTAGCGACATCCTGATTTGGCATCGAACTGCTGATGTACGGGCTGCTCTGGGGAATGCCATCGAAGCTGTCCTGAAGGCCATTCGTTGTGGAAGGGGTCTCGGGCGCTTTCTGAATCCCCGTGATAATGTAAGTCGCATTGACGCTGTTTTGCTTCTTGTTGTTTTCGTTGCGATGGAAATCAAAGAGCATCCTTTCCGACAATAATCAGAATAATCCATATGCATAACTTCGTGTTATTCGTATAAGACATACTGCTTGGCCAGGGTACTATGAACCCGAAGGGCTCGACCTAAGGACCGGTAGGTGACCTGTAGTATGCGCCGAAGCTATTAGTAGATATCCAGCTTGCAGCACATTAGACATGGCTCACCGTGCGTCGCTCATTGAGAACATTCTCAGCGAGATACCTCTTATAATCAGCAACAGCCATGATGACAACCGTCCCTTAATCGTGTGTGAAAAACGGCGTCGTTCAAAGCAACATGCGATGCGGAGTAGATTATGGTCGACGCGTTCTGGAAGCACTTTACGCGTATCAGTCAGCGGGTCTTGGCACCGCAGCCAGTCTCCGACGCCATCACAATAACTACTCTTGACGATCGCCAGTTGCCATTCACGGTCTATTACAGCCCCAGGAACTTTTCTCACCCCGCCTTTGCTCACTAGACCTACCTGTATATCCGATGATACGTCGATAGTCGCCGCAGCCTGCACCCACCCACCCTATGGACCAAACCTTCGACCTCCCCGACTCGACCGATTGGCTTACAACGCCACTGTCACTTGTCGCGCCTCTCGAATCCGCCCTCCGCTGCCAGGTTTGCAAGGACTTCTTCGATAACCCAGTGATTACCTCGTGCAGCCATACTTTCTGCTCGCTTTGTATTCGGCGGTGTTTGAGCACGGAAGGAAAATGCCCCGCGTGTCGCAGCTCTGATCAGGAATTGAAGTTGCGGCGAAACTGGGCTGTTCAGGAACTGGTCGAGGCGTTCCAGAATGCTAGACCCAGTGTTATAGATCTGGCTAGAAAGGCTGCTGCGCGGGGGAGTGCGACTGAAGAGGCAGATTCGGAGGAGCCAGCACCGAAAAAGAGAAAGGTCGAGGCGGTAGATGGACCTGCTGCGGAGGGCGTGAGGACTCGATCGCAAACTCGGGGAGTGGGCTCTCAGGAAGATCCTGTTGCGATTGAGGTCATTGAGGACAGTAATGATGAGGAATATGTTCCAGGTGTGTAAATCATCGGCAAAGTTGCGTCGCATGCTAATTGCCACTGAAGAGGACGGACTAGTCGCGTGCCCGATTTGCAGCCGGAGGATGAAGAATGAGGCGGTATTTCGACATTTGGATACATGCACTGGAGAGCCTGCGCCACCGAAACAGTTGAATTTTGGGTAAGATATGTCTTCTGGAGAGTGTCTACATGTTTGCATCTGACTCGGAATTATAGCTCGTTACAACCAGCGTCGCAGAGACCAAAAGACGCGCTAAATAAAACACCAGAACGACTGCCCATTATAAACTATTCTTTATTGAAAGATAATGTGCTCCGAAAGAAGTTAAAAGATTTGGGTATACCGAACACGGGCCCGAGGCCCCTTCTGCAACGACGTCACACAGAGTGGATGAATTTATGGAATGCCAACTGCGACTCCAAAACGCCAAAGTCCAAAAGGGAATTGCTGCGAGAACTGGATATCTGGGAACGTACACAAGGCGGCCAAGCGCAATTATCAGGTGATGTCACAGATACCGTCATGCGCAAAGACTTCGATGCGGCGGCCTGGTCAACGAGCCATGACGATGACTTCAAGCGACTCATTGCGAATGCGCGAAAGAAAAGCGAAGCGCAGGTGCGCACCACGATACCACAAGGAAATGTAGGCACAAATCAGGCAACCAACCAGCTTGCCAGCCAGACAACGTATCAGCCTTCAAGTGCGCCTGTTATTGAGCACACGGAAGCCATACATGCGGCGGAAGATGCCCAACCCCCGGAGAGGTTGCCTGTAGAAGACAAACTTGTCATTGTTCCTGAGGTACAAGCGCAGACGCTCCAGGGCTCAGTCGATAGCCAGATGACCAATACGCAAAATTAGTTGCACTTGGTGTATGTGTCTAGAATATGCGCATTGTGCAGGTACCAGGCCCTGGAGGTTTGTTCATCGTCTTGCGCTAAGCAGTGGTATTGGGACCTTCCTCGACCGACATCCTCGACAGGCGGTCCTCCAATTCCGATTCCACAGCTCGCTCCGCTGCAGTTCTGCGAGCGGCTTCCTGAGCGCCCTGCTGGAGACTGTCGAGTTCGGCAAGCTTCTTGCGAGTCTCTTCTGCCTCCTTCTCTTCCATATCCTCCCGCTCCTTTTTCTCCAGTTCCTGCAGCTCGTCGTCGATCTCAGTCTCATCAATCTGTGGACCAGCCTCGTTCATGATGTTTCCGACCTCATCCACCTTGGACATCTCCTCACGCAGCTCTTCTACCACATCCTCGACCCTCTCTGCACCACCGATCTGAGTATGCAAGCCCCGAAGTGCGCCGGTGCTTGCCTCCATGACCTTGACGAATTGCACCTGATCCGTCGCCTGCTCGATTTTGGAATATACCTCCTCAAGCTGCATCAGAGTATCCAGTCTCTGTTTCAGATTATGCTCCGCGAGCTTCTTAGAGCGCACAGCCGAGAGCGCAGAAACGCGGTTCTTGTTTTGCAGTGCCATTTTGGCAGTCGCATTAAGCTCAGTGATTTTATTCTCCAGGTTTTCCACCTGCTTGTTCATAGTCGCCATGAGCGTTTTGATAGAGGCGACGGCGGTATCTTGCTCTGTGATATCTTTTGGAGCGTCACTGGTTCTGAATTTGATGGTCTGCAACATAATTAGCATCCTACATGGTATAGATAAAACACCGAGACATAGGAATAAAGACACATACCTTGCCATCGTACGCAATAGCACCGCTATCGCGGGACATATACAGTAACAGCACATCCATATCCGCATCCGACAAGCGACTTCCTTCATCCAAAGCACCCGCGAACTCGTTCACGAAGCTTTCCTTGGAAAAAACCAAGTCCGTTTTGGACGGACTGTTCGCCGTGGCGTGCTTGACTACACGGTCCGCAGCCTCCTATAAGCACACCTCATTAGTCCTACCCATTCCAACAACCACGAACCGAACCTAAGCCAACGCAACCTACCTTCAAATTCTCCACCAATACCAACTCCTGAGGCTGTAACCTCGGCGTCGCCTCCTCGCCTCCAATCACAACACCCTTCAACTGCTTCATACCCCAGCTCATGACAGCCCATGGACTCAACACAGACGTATCAATCCCCCACTGCGGCTTGCGCAAACTCGCTGGGTTAGTCCGATAAAGATGCAGCGGCACCATGGTTCGATTCCTTGTCGCTTCGTCCTGTTCCACACGGAGTCATCATTAGTCACTGTACACCCCATTCCCCTCATATACATGTATATGGTTGTAACATACAAAGACCGCACCCAGTGCGACAGGCCGTCCACACTCCGGAATCTCTAGATCACGTAGCAAGGATTCATCAGCTCGGAGGATCAAGTGATTCGCTTTGCCCTTCGAGGCGGGCCCATGTGGAGCGATGTAGCCGTGCTTTGCGGCGGAGGTTAAGGCATGTTCCCAGGCTGCGATATTGGTGGTGTATCCCTCGGGGTTGGTCTTGCGGTGGATGGGGAAGTCTGAGTAGAGGGAGGGGAGGCGGTTCCTGCAGTTACAGATAATATGTCAGTATCAGTGGCTAAACAGGAGGGTAAAGCGGGGCAATGACGGACTTTCTGAAGGAATCCTGCGAGAGGATGTATTGAAGGAGGGTCGTCATGGTGGTTGTTATGGTAAGTGGCAGATGAGTATGTAAAGTGAGACTGTGATAAAATGGATGTAAATGTATCTAAATGTGGTCTATATTGAGTACTCGTAATAAAGAAAATGTACACACCGTCGGTGTAGGCTGGATAGCCCCCGTGCGTGCGTGGTGCTACTGAGGTAGTATCAGGATGTCTATCTGATGTCAATAAATGGGCCACTTCGTCCTTAGCGTTGGTTGTCGGGGAGGTCATCTTATCGATAAGAGCTAGTCACGTGTTATGGTCATGCTGCAGCTGGCGATCATTTTCTGCCACCGCCCAATTTTCAACAGATTTCGGAGCCTTTTTTTGGGGACTGGATATCCTTAAATCCGCTTAATTCCGAGATATTCAGAACGAGGCTCGCTAGGCTCTGCCGGTTTGAGCGGTCTGAAAGGCGGTAAGGGTCTACCCTTTGAGGACTACGGATATGTTAGGACTATAGAGATAGTGGAATCCAATTTAGCATAAACACGTAGAGAAATATTAATTGACACATGTCTATGGTATTGTATAAACCTATGCGCCCATCGCACCATAATTGCGTCCCTAAGCTCGTTCGAAGTCGTCATTGGCTGCATTGTCATCATCTCTCGTGCCTTGCGCCGGACCAAGACCGCCCGAATCCAGCGGATTCGAGATCAAAGATTTGCGATTCATGCGCCGGTCCAGCTTCTCGCTGGTTTCTTCCGTGCCCAGTGCTTCGGCAGTGGCTGCCTCGTCCCTTGTGTCAAGCCCTCGGGCCTCTAAGTACTCGACCTTGACGGCGTGTCTTAGGTTGTCAACGAACGTTTGCATCTCGGGCATTGGAAATCCCCCATCGCCATCCAATACATCTGCATATAGCCGCTCCGCCTCCTCGAGAGCAGCCGATGCTAGTGATGGTTTCCCCAGACGAAGCCACATATCGGCGGCAAATACACTCCACATTCCAGCCTTCCTACGTCGAGAGCCCCATTTCATTCCGCTCACCGGTGACCTCGCCGCATAGCATGCCGACACACGCTCACTGAAAAGGCCCTGGCCGATGGATCCAACTAGCCCAAGGTCCATGGCCCGCATGGCCCATCGAGCGGCGCTTTCCACTGCCGAACCCCCACGAGACTTCAACAATTCCATGGCTAAAGTGAGGCAACGAAGTGCATTAGGTGCGTCTGAGCACCGTGTAAGATAGGAATAACATGCCGTGTCGAACATCTGATCGATCCCGTCGAGCTTCACCTTGGTCCCCATTGCGGCCGGATTGAGAAGCATGCTTACGGCGCACATCTCGTAGGCACCCGCATGGTACTTCCAAGCCTTGTCGTTCGCATAGTCCGACCGAAGAAGCTCATACGTGGATGCTGATAACTTCCAGTCGCGGAGCATGAACGCGAAGTCAGCCATTTTACGCAGAAGTGCTTCAGGCGTGTCAGGCCTATAGTAACCGTGAGCGACATCGTAGTTCCCGCTAGCTCCTCCGGATGTGAGGCTGGAACGAGAGCCAGTTCCGAACCCCGCCCATCTTCGGGACATGGACATGAATCGGCCACTGATACCGCGCCTACGGGAGGCCACCTGGTCATTCCAAACAGCGACTCGGTTTTCCATGAATGGTACGACGGACTGCGCAACTAGCTCTCGGATAAAGGCCTTGATTGCCATAATATCCGAGTCGAAAAGGTAAAGACCATTATTATCCAGGTCAACCAAGGGCTCTGTTGATCGTCAGTAATTGTGGTACTGTAGATGCAGGGGTCTAGTCATACCAGCTCCACCCGAGAGTCGCTCGGGAGGCGAGAGCCATTCGCATTCCGGTACTTGAACACTGTCATCATCGGTGACCACGCACTGATTGCTGCGCAGCCTCAACAAGTGGCAATGTAACCCAAAATGACGCTTCATTTGGTCGTACAGCTTGGTCGATTCTGCAATGTCATCCCGATCCTCGTCATGCACGAGCACGTAGTACCGGAGGTATTCAGAGTGACACCAATCTGGCAACCTCTTAGGCCCATTGCTCGTATCTGCATACAGTTGTCTGAGGGTTTCAAGCGGGGCAGTATTGCGTGAGCTAATAGCAATGACGCTGGCCACTGGATGTCGAAATGTTTCATGTGGCGTGGCCGAGGATATCGACAGAAGGTGTCGAAGAAATACTTTGTATAAAGGGGATGTTGTAGGAAAATTCAAGAAATCTCTGGGGCGCATTGATCCGCCCAGCGGATCATCTGCCGTGCCCAATTGCTTCTCCAAGACCTCTTCCACCTGTGCCAGGGAGGGGTTTCGCCCTGAGCTCGAATTGGTAGGGGGCGGGCTGTTGCTGGCCAAGTTCACGAAGCGCACCCCGTAGTCTTCCCAGCCACGACTCGACCCCACGCTGTCCCTTATAACCAACTTTCCGGGCACATTCTCGCCGAAAGGGCGAATCAACTCCCAGAAACCACCAGCAAAGCCTTTCTGTCGTACCAACTCATCGGTGTCCGCTGATGCATAGACTCCAACCACCGGGGAGAACGAGCGTATGATTAGAGAACGAATCTCCTCCGCGCCATCGAAACGACCTTCGACCGGGGATCCTAGGGATGATCGGGCTAATTGTGGAGTCGACGATCGGAAAGAAGGAGCACGAGGTGATGCGGACCTAATCGGAAGTTCTGCCGTCGTGGCCGTCAGGGGCGGGGTCGGGGAGCGGATCCTCGAATCTACCAGGTCTGCATCGAGAGCCGGTGATGAGTCGCGGCGCTGATTCGGATATCTCGACTTGGATGCGACACGTGGAACGCCGGGCGAGAACGACGGCGGAGGCTTGACCGGAGCCGCATCTCCGGGCGATGTCATGGACTCCGAGTGGCGTGGGATGCGCTGTGAACAAGAGTAGAAATGACCCTAGAGCCCATGGACCGGGTGGGGAGTGATCCCACGGAAGAGTGACAAAAAAAGGGAGTGATGTGGTGTGGTGAGGTTCGGAGCGAATTGTCAGGAGAAAGGGAATGGCGGGAGGAATCCGGCAATGTTGTAGGGATGCGTTGAAGCCAAGTCACCGCGGGCGAATCCCAGAGCGCAAGTCGGGCGAACAGCTCCGTTGGGCTAATGCGTCCCTCGCGGCAGCTAATGTCGGGGGACAAAATGATGGTGAGGCACTCTTTTTGACAACTGCTTTTCAGAATATATATATTCTGGTGTCAATGAGGAAAGCAGACTGGCTTACCAGTGGACTGTCATCGAACGGAGAGCTGCGACAAGCTTCATTGTTCGTTTAATGGATTGAGTTGTTGTTGACGGCTCGGAAGGCGGTGATGATCCTCCACTTGATCTGCCGGGCAATTGTTTAATTGTTCAGGCGCTGCTGTTGATCCCCTCCACTCTCTTCCTGCGATGCGCTCTGCTTGTAATCGGGAACACAAGGCTGACCATCTCATGACTCAATAGAGTACATTCACTCGTCAGTCCATTTGACTCATCCTGGGATGGCTGCTACCCATGCTCAGATCATCCCTCTTCTCCTTGCCTTCCAAGCGCCGCCTACTCCGCCTGACCGTTCCTCTCTCTCCGCCAACTGATGCTTCCGCCGCAATTGGATTTCTTTTCCTTCCCAGAATCTCCCCGTTGATACCCCGTGCTTGTATAAATAGCCTCCGGTCTACATCCGTACCGCACAGCTCTTCCATGAGCCGTCGGAGATCCTCCAGCCTCTCCCCTCAGCGAACAAACAAAAGACGGCGCATACCTGAAGCTGCCCCGCATCCGGGCGCTGCAGGAGACACCATGACTCAATCCGCGAATACCGTTCCCACCATTGAACTTACCGCTCTCGAATCGACATTAAAATCCCTCTTACTCGATGTCGCAGAATACATACACGAGAAGAATGTGGCAGAAGGACGCCACGATACAGAGCCTACGATACTGCGATTTACCGGTGGATGGGTGCGGGACAAGCTCTTAGGGGTGGGCAGCAACGATGTGGACGTCGGTATCAACAACATGACTGGATATCAGTTTGGTTTGCTCCTCAAGGAGTATATGGATAGACCGGAAAACTTGGAGAAGTACCGACAGAAGCAGCCCAATGGAGAGTTGAAACATGCGATTGCTAGCCTACATAAAATCGAGGCGAACCCGGAGAAGTCCAAACACCTGGAGACAGTGACGACAAGGATATTCGGCTTGGATATTGATCTCGTGAATCTACGAAAGGAGACCTACTCGGAAGACAGCCGAAACCCGCAGATGGAATTTGGCACAGCCCAGGAAGACGCTATGCGCCGCGATGCGACGATCAATGCGCTTTTTTACAATCTGAACGAGTCCAAGGTTGAGGATTTGACTGAAAGAGGTCTGGAGGATATGCACAAGAGGATCATTCGTACCCCGATGGAACCGTATCAAACCTTTCAGGACGACCCATTGCGTGTGCTGCGCTTGATTCGCTTTGCTAGCCGACTGGGTTATAACATCGAAGAGGAGACTCAGGAGGCAATGCGAAATGAGCTTATCGGGGAGGCTCTCAAGCTGAAGATCAGCAGAGAACGGGTGGGCAAGGAGCTAGAAAAGATGCTGCAAGGTTTGTAACGTCCAAGCCGGCATTGATGGTTGCTCACAGTTTCCAGGTCCTGATCCCCGCGGTGCACTGCAATTTATTGACCACCTTGGGCTATACCCGACCATCTTTGCCAACCACCAGGATGATGCACAAGCAGATACTTCGTCATGGGCACTTGCATACAATGCGCTGGGGAGAATTTTGAAACCTCATGATGATGACCCCATGATCATCAAGAATGTCTGCGATTTCCTCATACGCGACAAACTTGAGTCCTACTACGCGTGGATGATTGCAGCATTTGCTCCATGGTCAAGTGTGCCAACCCGCGTTGCGAGGGGACCCAAGGCGAAACCTCTGCCGGCCCGGACTGCGGAAGTAGCTCGAGACAGTTTGCGAGCAGATAACAAGACAATCGCCGTCATTGGTGATGCGGCACATAATTGGCAGGCCATTACCGACATCAAGAATGCTGTCCTCGAGGGACGCATGGATGGAACTGCAGCAGAGGTGCGGCAGCAGGTCGGACTGCACATCCGCTCGTGGAAGAAGGACTGGAGACTCTGTATACTTCTTTCCATTCTCCAAGAAATTATGCGAGGCGGCGAGTTTACCAGCGGTAAGGACTTTCCCACGCCCATTGTCTGGATATGAAAGTGATGCTTACGTCATGGCAGTTCTGGAATCGTACGATCTCTTCCTCTCCTACATCAAAGAGCAGGATCTACAGGATGTGTTTGAACTGAAGCCCCTCGCGAACGGCGGAGAGATTGTGAAGGCTCTTGGTTGCAAGACAGGGCCCTGGATGTCGAAAGCCTTGGATATGTCGATCAAATGGCAGCTGTTGCACCCGGAGGTTACCGAGAAGGAAAAGGTGCTTGAAGAGCTGTCCCGTAGAAAGGAAGAGCTAGGTATCTCTACATAGTAATAGAAATATCATGGCTGCTTGGATGATAACTTCTTGTTCACCTATTGTACTAGTCCAATAATATCTAGATGCCTGATTGGGACATTGTAGGGCCATTGTTCGGTTCCCGTCTCTTACCGCTCGGTAAATTTGCCGACGGCGATGGATCTCCGAGTAACCTGCCCCAATCTAACTTTCTATGGACATTTTGTTCTCCGTCCCCGCAAACACCATTCTTAGATGAATAGTGGGGTAATTAGGCATGTCGGTAGAAGAATTACGAACAGTGGCGCGTGAGTGCCTACGCCGCGGTGATGCACACATCCCAGACTCGATGCTGGACAAGCTCGTCGTTCCCGGAGAATTGGAGCGTTTATGGGACACCATCTCAGCCCACGAGGACAAAGACAATGCAACTGTATGATAAGCCATTTTGTTATCGTACTGAGACAGTGTTGCTAACTGATTACTACAGGCATCTGAAAACCTGTATTTCGCTCGGGAGTTCCTGAGACTTCGGAACTCCAATGAATTATCAGAGCCTGATGTTGCCGCAGCAAATCACATCTATGCCTGGACGAGTAGGCATGCTCTTCCATCTGCAGTGTATGTGGAATCCATGGAAGAGCCCAGTGGTGAGTTGAAAGCTTTCCCCTCTCATATGCTCAAATATACTAATGTAGCCCAGAAGAGAAGAACGCTCTTATGCATGAAGACAAGCTGAGATCATCACTGTCAATATCCGTGATCGCAGCCTTGGACTCTCAGTTTCCAGTTCATAAAGCAGCAGATGTGGCAAACATCATTCTTGCATTAGCAAGCTTCACTTCCGAAGCGGACCCGTGGACAACAGATGAGTCACAAACGGCGTCAACTGCCATTCTTGAAAGGTTTCGCACAACATCACCCCCGACACCAGAGGCATCGTTTTGGGCTGTCCTTGAAACCATCCTCAAGGACATAATCCGACCTCTCTTCACGAGGACCAGGAACCCCGCCATCACAGCAGCAGGTCGCAAGGACATGCACCCTATCCCTCTCCCCAGATTTGATACCAGCATTCTTGACCCAGAGTCGAAACCATGGCGATCCTCAGATGTCTACGCGACGACCGTTTTCTCCTGGATCATAACACAATATCAGGTAAAACCATCTTCAACTGACTATATTACTTGCCACTAACAGCTTCCAGGCGTCAGACATAAGCCGTCTAGAATCCCACTTTCCCCTTATTGTCCCACCCATCCTTGCCTTGATTGATGATGAAACCAACCCCAACAAAACCGACGGCTGCACTCTTCTCACCCATCTCCTGCAACCCATTCAGCAAGCCAAATCCGATATTCTGAAGCGTACCAATCTTTCCTCTGTCTTCATCGATGCCATCAAACCATGTCTCCTCTCTCTACCCACTATAACCCCCGAACCCGACTCCACCCGTCTCCTAAGCACAGCCTATCCAACCCTCTTCCTACTCCTCAAAACCAGCTACTTACCCAAGGATAAACAAACCTACATCACTGAGTTAACGAAAGTCCTTCGCGAGAACCTCATCCCCTCCTTCCACCATATTAGCACCCTGACACCCTCCGGCGGGACACAATCTACGCTATCCTCGTTTCCACATCCGAAATTGTCTACTCTTCTATTAAACAAGATACACGATAGTCTCTTCGATCTCGCAGTTCACACAACAAAGTACCTACAGGAAATCATCCCGCTCATCTACAGTACGCTGACCAATCCCTTCGGGACGGCGTGTCCACCTCTCCTTTTGGCAGGAGTGGCTGTTACCAGAGCTGTGATTCTGAATGCACACCCGAGGATTTGGCGCTGGAGGGGCGAGATTCTGGGTGCCGTGGCGGCATGTTGGCTTACCGTGGCTGACGAGGAGGCTGCGGAGCGAGGGAAAGAAGATGGAAAGGAAGAGTTGATTAAGTTAAAGATGCACCTAAAGGGCGTGGTCTATTTGCTGAGGATGGTTTTGGAGAATCCAGATGAGGAGATCACCAAAGATGACGAGGTAATTGAAGCGAAGGAGGGATTTGCGAAGGAGGTGGAGGAGCTGGTTGGTGCCGATGAGGCATTGAGAGAATTGCTGCTTGGGGAAGTGGATGGGAAAGATGGAATGTATTTCGGCGCTTGATACCAGTGGGGACTTCTTCACCTGCGTCATTCTGGATGATGTTGGTCTGGTTATATGGGTTGTATAACCAGTAATATAGCCCTGAATTGATATTTTCCATCTCTACTGCCAATACCTAGTCTCTCCTAGTCAACCCCATATAGAAGGCCTGGATGATTTCATACATACAATCAAACAAGCCCCCTGCTGAATACCCCCGGAATGAGTTCGATGTCATCTCGGACTCGAAAGCAAGTGTTATCCTTCACATAACAGAGGCAAGTCACATATCCTTCCCAGGATCGACTTTATTCAGCACACTGCCATTATACCCTCTCAGCATCAGATACAACCACAATCCCATTCACTACAGTCCCACAACTACCACCAGCAAAGCAAGCCCTACAACCAGCCCCGATGCTAGTAGCAAGTAACACACTCCATACCATAATCAAGCCTCTTCCATATCTTCGATCTCAAACCCTCCTTTTCCTCTGACAAACTCATCTCCAACACAACTTCCCCTTCCATCAGCATCTTATTACCTTCTACTCCCAAATCCAAACTACAATCCCAATGCAAGAACCACCACAACCAGCCCCAATCATGTTCCGAATCTTCAACTACGCCCAATCAAACCCCCAACCCCAACCCTCAACCTCACCACCATCCTCCCACAACCACAACCACAACCACACCCCCAGCCCGATCCCCTCCGTCCGCGTCGAAATCCCACCCTCAGAGCGTACGCCTCCCCCCTCCCCAATCCCCCATCCCAGCCCTCCAAACCCCCTACTAACCAACCAACCCAGTCCTCCCAGGCCTAACCCACAACGACCTCCCCCTCCTCGGCACCCGCCCCAGCTCCTCAATGCTGGAATACCACCAACTGCCCATCCTCCGACACCTCGAATGGCGCATCGACGAGACCACCAACGAACCGCTCCGTCGACCAGTGAAAGACGTTGTGTCTCTGACGGCAGCATACGCACAGACACGCGGATGTGAGCCACCGGAGCCATGCCTCCATTGCAGGGAGGGCAAGAGCGTGTGGAAGACGTGCGTGGTGGGGTTCGATACCAGGGAGGGAATGAGTGCGCATGGTGCTTGTGCGGCGTGTCGGTTTAGTAGGAGGGGGTGTAGTTTTAGTAAGTACTCGTCTTTCTGGGGGTGGAGTTGGTTGGGAGAGTGTGTAGGGCTGACTGTGTGGTAGATATGCAGGTTGAGGAACCTGAGACTCCGGTTAGAGTTAAGGATGAAGATGGGGCCGACGAGATTGGCCTTACGACTCCACCGCCATCTGGGTCAAGGGGATATTTGATTACTGCTGTTGCTGCCGGTCGTAGTCGTGGTGGAGGTAGGGGTGGAGGTAGGGCAAGAGGGCGCAGATTCATTCGTTCGAGACCGTATAATCTCAGACCGAGGGTTACTACTCCAACACCTAGCGGAAGCGATATGGGGTATACCAGTCGTGATGAAGAGCGGGACTCGAATCGGGAGATAAAATCAGAGAGGAGGGAGGCTGTTGCCTACTCGCCCGGTACTTCTCGACTCGATGGAAGTATTCTGCCCTTTCCGTTGGGTCCGGAGACGATTGACGATCTGCCGTTCTTGAGACGCGCTGTTACGGAAATGGAGATGCATTTGGGGACGTTGAGGAGGGTGAGACAGTTGGAGGATAGGGAGAGGATGAGGGATACTAGTATTAATCCGTGGGAGTTGGTGTGATTGATTACATGGGGAGGGCTGGGATGTTGTTGTGGTACATGTTGTTGATGGGTTGGTGTTCAGAATGGTGGTAAGGGAGTTATGGTGCATAAATTGATGGGGACGTGTACACTGCGTTGTGTTCATAGCGGAGAATGACTTGCATGTCGGATATGGTGATAGTGTGATCACTTGTGGAAGTTAGCGTTCGATGGGATGGAGTTACATTTGAGTGGAAAAGCATACTTGGAAAAGAAGGAGGACTGGCACCAAGCACCAGTGAGTGTAAATGCAGTGTCATTAAGAAATCAAAATACGAAACATCTTCTCTGATCTAATGCGGCCGTTCAATTCTATCGTAACTATATACAAACCGACGTTTAAGACCCACGAGACGAAGTATACACCTTCTGAGGATACAGAAAACCACCAAGGCCACCATCTACATGATTCTCAATTCTCGGTCTCAATCCCTCCGACGACGAAGGCATCATATCAAAGCCCTGAGTACTCAATGACTCCTGAGTATTAACCTTCTTGACAACATCCACCAGCCGTCCTAATATGGCGTACTCCAGCTTCAGCTTAATGCTATAAGCGACAGGCTTGAACATGACCTGCAATGCATAGTACCCGGCGTACTGAATCCCGACGACGGCTATATCAAGTATCAATACCAGGATATTAATCCCGATTAGCTGCGCTAGAATACGACGATGTCGGTCTTCAGGACGAAGTCGTAGCAGCTTCGCAGCTTCCCAGACATACAGACCGGAGAGGAGACCTTCTTGGAGACAGAAGCCGACGAGCTGGATCCGCTCCATGATGTTGTATCCGTGGTTGAAGAGTCTCCAATGTGTGGAGACGGTTCCGTATAGGAGGACCGTTATGGGGATTTGGAGGAGGATGTCATCCAGGATGATGAGACGGAGTAGATATCGAAGGATTGTAGGGTCCTGGAGGACGAGATGGAGACGGGACCAAAGGACGAGTGAGTGGCCGGTTATCATGCCGCACCAGCCGATCATGATAAGAGTGACGGAGCCGTAGGGCGAGATTTGGGGTCGAGAGAAGAGGAGAATATATCCTACGCACTGCGGGACGATGCTTAAGGAGGCAACGAGGAGGGACCAGAAGTAGACGCTGCCTCGGCGTTTAAAGGTCGAGAGACAGAGGATGATGAGTTCGATGGCATTGTAGCAGGCGATGGCGGCAAAGGCCGTGAAGATATGCACTTGATGGGAGTCTCGGTATATGTCGGGGAGAAGGCGCCCTGAAGGGGTGTCGCGTTTGAGGAGCATGGGTGAGGGGGACACATGGTTGACAGGATGGTTTGTGGTAGTGAGGGGGAGGGAGGAGAGTGGGAGATTTATTGAATGTCTACCAGGGTCGCCACGCTCAGGGTCCGAGGAGAAGAGGATCTGCGAGTGGATGCAAAGGACAATGGGGCCAACAAGGACCGCTCAGGCCTCCGATTTGCTCCTCATGGGTAGGATGGCGTAAGTGGAAACATATGCAGGGAGGGTGCGGATGCGGAGAGAGACTAGACTAGAGGGGGATCGCTGGATGAAGCACGATTAAGGGTATGAACGGCAGAAGATCGCCTCACCGGTATCAGGGGGTCCCTGAAAGCAAGGGCGATATTAGCTCATGGATACGAGGTCTACGCGTGGCCGAGCATCTGACGGAGAAGTTAGCCGATCGACTATCGAAGTTTGCTGACAGCGACAAACCGGGGGAACACGCGGGAGGTCGATCACTTGCGGACAATAAACTAGCCCGCTATAAGGTGGATCTTGGTTCAATAGTAGATCCATATCTTCAGAAGCGGCCGGCCTATCCGACATGATGTATTTCTTCAACACTGTTCTGGAAGCCTGTGCATTGACCACTCGGGCTGCTCGCCCCCAGAAGGCGAGAATGGCGCCCCATTGTCGAGCTGATATTTCACTCATTCATTTTTTCATATAAAAGTGTGATTTGAGTTCGTGGTGGTACTACTTCCACCGGTGACTGTGAAGGTTCTCAAGCTGCCAAATGCGGAATCTAAACCATCTCTGGAAGTTCTGATTTATCATCTCAAGCCCCTATCCCGTAGCCCCGTAACACAAGTGCTCAATAGTTTCGTGAGGTGATGGGTATTGTGGGATGACACATTTGTCCAGGCAAACAGACTAAGGTAGACCCCAGATATCAAAAGGCCATATGGATCTCAGTGTCTCTTCGTCCTTCACAGGCTCATCTGGATCGTCAATTTCAGGATTGGTCAATACGGCCTGCAACATTCCATCAAACATCTCATGATGCGCTGTCTGCGCCGCCTCCCAGTCACCCGTTGGCACCCAGCCATCAGTGGCCGTGTTGAGCAAGCCTGCGAGGTCATAACGCAGATTATGCGCTGCCTCAAAAAGTCTATACTTCTTCTGATGATCTGCCAGTTTATGCGGTGGAGGGACTACGTAAGGACATGGTCTTGCAAAACCTAGCTGTTCCCAGTTTTGAGATGTGTCAATCAAATCGTGGTGTAGTGCCGCAGCCCCATCCTTCCATGTCCTGTAGCTGTAGCGAAATGGTCGGAATAGATTTTGGTTGATCAATCTCGGCTTTGAGAGCGTGGGTATAAGAAATTGGGTGCAGACATCAAATGCTCTAGTGCAGACCTCATTCTCCGTTGCAAAGTCGGGAATCTCATCCGCATACCAAAACGCCGGCTCAACGCTAGCGGCCTGCCAGTCAATGATAGCCGTTAGCTCAGAAGGATCACCCTCTGAGACAAATATGTTCCTCTTGTGAAGGTCTGGGTGAAACAATACTGGTGTCGCACAGTCCTTTATCCGGGGATCCTGAGACATGCATCTCATCAGGTCTCGCGTCTGAGCTAGAAGCATCTTGTGTGTTTCTTCAACTGAGCCATGATACATCGGTCATCGTTTCATTTACAAATCCACAGCCGGAAGCCTCGATAGACCAGCATCAATAAGGCCATCGCAGTATTCATAAAGGTCATTCCCTAGCCGTTCGTTAGCCAATACTGAAGCCGTGGGGGGGCAGTGATTTTGATAACCCACAGGGCCCCCGGTTGGGTTTTGTATAATGTGAAGCTTGGCTGCTTCCAACGCCACAGTCCCAGTATCTGGTTCCACAATGTGGCCCAATACAGAAGTCTCCGTCAAGCACACGCCTGTTGTCGGGGCTTACGGGACTGCGTATAGAATGCAGACTCCCAAAGCACGGAAACTGTAGGTCAACCACTTCTTTAAGCTTCCGGTAGATTGCGTCTATACACTTGATACGTTTTTTATCGCCCATTTCATGCCACTTCTTGTGCAATTGAACACCAGTTGCATGCTCCATGATGATGTATTTGCTGCCAATGGGATTATCGATGCTCGTGGCATCGTTGCTCCAAGCGAGTATCTTGGGTATAGGAACGGTAGTATTGCCTTGCACTGAAGAGCAGAGTGCACCATAAGCCAGTGAAGCGAAAGAATGATGAGAGTAACTTACGATATTCGATCGTTGCGATCTCAGAACTGGTAGTCAGCTGTGCCGGACCAGCCAGCGAAAACGGAAGTCTTGCGACCACTCGTTTGTCGTTGTCCAGTTCGAAAATGAAGACCCGGTTGAAACCACCTTCCAATTTTTGACATCTCGTGATGATACGTGCACCTGGCGATAGAGTAAGGACTTTGCGACAGAGGGCATCAAAGTCGAATTGAATGTAGCGAGAGGCTCGCTCCTCATCGTCTTTGCGAAGCCAGCGCCCACTAGTGTAATGATGTGGATCGAGATCTAGGTGTACACCATCGCGATCATCGCGACCACGATCTGTTGGTGTCGAGTGATCGTGAGACATCGGTGTATGATACATCCGCAAATCTCCCCGGGCTTTCCTCGTAGCCGTTGAATGCGAATAGAATGCCTTGTCCACCACGCGGAATGTGTGTCTTCTAACGAGCCCTGTTGTTGTCGAAAGGAAAAAAGGGGGTAGTCGGCGCGTAGCATGACCTGATCTTAACAATTGCTGTATCATCTTGCTAATTGTACAAGTTGGAATGAGAAGCAGAGGGGAAGGGGAAAGGGAACACATTTATCCTCTGAAGCCTATAGTGGTTGCAGCATAAGGGCGGATGGAGGCGTATGTCTAGTTTTCGTTGGCTCCCTAGCAACAGACAGTGGACTGTGGTGACATAGAATATATGTTCTCTTTTGACAATGAGTATGAGATATCATACCCCTTGAACCTTGTCACCTTCTAGCCGCAGGGGTCATAGTCCACATCATTATAGGACCGGGAAATATGCGTATGCAAAGGAACCGAGGAGTAGTGAGTGACAGCAGTCCAACGGTCCCGAATTCCCGGGTGGACAGTCCCCGCTCGATGGGAGCCTTATTCGACCGCCCGGTAGGCAAGGATGCTGGTGTCCCACCGACAGTATGATGCACCTCTGATAGGCACACTTCTCCGATCCGACTTAAACGTGGTAGCCTGCCTTGGAGACACGTCAGTCTCGACTCCATCCTTCTTAGCCACTTTGCGTCCCCCTGGGGTGTCCCTCACTTCTCGGCCATCATCAAGACGAAACCCGACCTCAAGTTCTACTATCGTTCCTTATACCTCGGTCTACTGCATCATGGCATCCATGAACCAAATTCTTACTGGATATGCCACTCGTCGAGCGACACTAGAAGCCAGTAAAAATCCTTACGCCAAGGGTATCGCCTGGGTTGAAGGACAACTAGTTCCCCTCAGGGAGGCCCGCATCCCCCTAATCGACCAAGGCTTTCTGCGCAGTGATTTAACCTACGATGTCGTCTCCGTCTGGGACGGTCGGTTCTTTCGCCTGGACGACCACCTCTCTCGACTTGAATTGGCCTGCGCCAAATCGCGTCTCAAGTTGCCTCTATCCCGCGATGAAGTGGAGGAAACCCTGGTTAGGATGGTCGCGCAAAGCGGTATCCAGGACGCATATGTGGCTCTGATTGTGACGCGGGGACTGCAGAGCGTTCGCGGTGTCAAGCCGGAGGATTTAGTAAACAACCTGTACATGTTCGTGCAACCCTATGTCTGGGTCATGGATCCAGAGGTCCAACGGGTCGGTGGAAGTGCTGTCATTACGCGAACTGTTCGTCGGGTGCCACCAGGGGCTATCGATCCTACCGTGAAGAATTTACAATGGGGTGACTTCACTCGAGGTATGCTCGAGGCTGCGGATCGAGGTTCTATGTACCCGTTCTTGACGGACGGAGATGGCCATCTCACGGAGGGATCTGGTTATAATATTGTTCTGATCAAGGACGGTGCAATTTATACGCCTGATCGCGGTGTGCTACATGGTGTCACCAGAACAAGTGTCATTGATGTTGCACGAGCTTGTGGGATCCAAGTTCACCTCGAGGCTGTGCCGGTCGAGTTGGTATATCGGTGTGATGAAATCTTCATGTGCACGACAGCGGGTGGAATAATGCCCATCACTGAGTTGGATGCCAAGCCTGTGAATCGGGGGCAGATTGGTCCGGTCACGAAGAAGATCTGGGACGGGTATTGGGCTATGCATTATGACCCGGCCTACAGCTTCGCAGTCGGATTTGATGACGAATCAAAGGCCAAGTTGTGATTGTAGGGAAGTGTCAATGGCCGAGATTCAGATATTGCATATCCGTAGAGAGGTTGACGATCTGGCGCCCTTATATTTTGTGGTCTGGTAAGTCCCCGTCAAACGTTGGTTTCCGTGGATAGTAAGTATATACACTCCTGGGGCGATGTAACCTTTCTCAATGACCAAACACTTTCCCGAACCGGGATTTGGAAAGGTTCCTCGAGAGTCGATGACTTCTTGAGTCGACCAAGCCAGCTGTGGATCACTACCGTCACTTGTCTCTGAGCTATATAAGGTGACTTTTTGCAGAGTCTATTTCGATACTTTGTGATCAGCCTATTATATTAAAGATAATTCCTATCCTTCAACAGGGAGGACATCACTTGAGTAGATCGATACAGACTCTTTGAATAGCCGAGTGGACAAGATCAAAGACGAAGGCATCACTCTGCTGGCACCCAACCATCATGACTCCAAAGCCATTGACTCGGTGTACTTTATATGGCGACTCATGTGGGAACAAGATGACTGAAACAATCAGAGCACATTCATATGGCAGGTAATGATGATAAAGAAGCAATTCCAAAGAAGGCTTGGTGGATTGCCCAGACTAAATCCGGTCTGGTATGAGTTGGAGGAAAGGGACCGGTAGTTACCGGGTTAAATGACGAGGCTCGCAAGAGCCCAGGAGATTTCTTTGTTTGTCGACAACAGGGTGCTTAGCCAGCTGCTCGGTTGCGATCATGCCATCCCCGGATTAGTGCTGTTTTCCTTGCCAGGTCCTCCCTTCCTCCCCCCTCCCAATTTCTCCTTGGGTACTTAGTTGTGTTAAGCATAAATAAGGGGAAAAGCAAAAAGTAGGTAGTAGTTCTGATGTCATGGAGATGGCTAGACATGAATGTCGGCACGAATCTTACTTCCTGGCGTCGTTACCATTCTAGCATGGAAGGCTCAGAGATGACAGGTCTGACCGATGAAAGCCTTTTGGGAGCGCCCTGGCACCTCGCAAAATATCGAGTTTATACGGTCTCATAGTATAGTGTACGATGAGAGGTAGATTGTATAAATTTAAACTATTACTTTTACTGTTTCTCGGCAATGAGACCGTCGGCCGGTAGCAGGATGGTCAAACTTGCTAAGTATCTTCGTCAATATGAGTATTTCTTCCTCCCAAGCTCTCCTTGAAAGGGAAAGAAATTAGTTACTGTACTCGCATCTCGTTAGTTCTGACTGTCCTCTTCGCCATTGTGTGTAGATGGACAGGATCGGTGATCAGAAAGGCATGAGGGACAACCGCAGTATGGAAGTATCGTACTACGATTTCGAGTCTGGTACATCACTTTGACAACGTCAGGATATAAAGATCACGATTTCGCTACTGGCTGACTTTTCCATTCCTAAATATTGCGCGCGTCATATTCCGGATGGCGGAGATGGAGAGAGTAGAAAAGGAGGAAGTGGAAAGAGACGGCGAGAGCAGGTGACTTCAATTATCTCATCCTCGCCTCTTTCGCTCTTTTCCGCTCTGTCAACCCACCTGCCCCTCGACTCCTTTCCCGATCATATCATCCTATGCATGCATTAGACATTGTTTCGATTCCTTTTCCGAAGACCTTCAGCGACAGGGATGAGAAAAAAGTCCGAAATTGCTGGCTATTCCGGCCGAAGGAAACCACGAATCAACATCGGAATAGACTATAAGCGAGATGTTATAGTGCGCTCTTTTCTCTCTCTACCAATATCCCGTGGAAGGAAAATGCTAGACGGTTTGTCATAAGCAAGAAAACGTTTCCCATGAGGATCGTATGCGTGAAGAGTTCAAGAATTTCTGCAAGGAGAGACATTACTAGTTATAGTGTGTTAGTTGTCTGATTCCTACCCTTGCTGTCTTGGTGATAATCTGGTTCGCCTTTTTCTTTGTTTCTTTTTTTCTTCTGCTTCTTCGTGGTGCCTTTTTTCTTTTTCTCTTCGCGCAAGACATACATAAGCGCGGCACTAGGACTAGTCTGCGTGGCCAAAGGCGCTGGATCGCTTGCTGACAGGGTCTCTGTCGCTTCTTAGGCTTGCCTCTGCAAAGCTCTACGCCGTTTGTTGATGAACCGGCTTAGACACATCTGATTGAAATGTCATAGAGTCGTCTAGCAGGGATACTGGACAACTCTCCTACCCCATAGTATTGCATTTTCGACTGACCATGCAGCTGCTGTCCATCCCCAGCCCCGATCGCACCAACCGGAAAGCGAAGCATCACCACCGCTTTTCGAGCCTGTCGCACGACGCTAAAACCGCCGATCCCTGCAAGATCCCCCAACTGCCTGAGAGGGGGTTGTCTTCCCTCGCCCCTTTAGGTCCCCCCAATGGCTCCCGCCTCAACGAGCCTGCATTTGCTTTAGCCATATCACACAAGCCTAGGCAGCCAGGACACATCTGGAGCCTTCTGTCCGGTACGTCGCTGTGTGCCGAAATACCGAGGAGCGTGGCGGGAGACATTGGTTGCTCAATCGATTACTCGCGCGCGGTACAGAGTAGATTATTTTTCTTTCTGTTTTGGATGGGGTGATAGGTCACAAGGATATTCTGGTGCAACGTCCGTTATCGCATCATCATCCGTTTGGTCTGGTTGTTGCGACCTCCACTATAGCCCCCTGCACCAATAGTGGAGAGCGGGAACATAAGGACCAGGAAAGAGCCAGGACCAAACCCCGGCGGGCGTTCAGCTGAGTGAGAGAGGTACGGAAGGACGGAGTGCGCCTCTGCCTTATCCGCGCGGTCACAAATAAAAGGCGGACAGCCGACAGGGCCCTAGCATGAAATCTGACAGGCCGGCATGAAATTAGCGTTCAAGGAGCCACGGTCTAGGATCATTCGGAACCAAGACAGGTCGGAATAAGGTGCACAAGAGTCGCCCACGAAAGCGATGGTCTCTGAACATCGTCATTCTCCTGGTGTAAGCCACCACTCAAGTGTGTCTCTATGATCCTTACTAGCCGGAGCTACGAGTCAAATCCAGAGACCCCCCAAGGTTTAATGAGTGTCACAATAGACTTTGTACGCCCACCAACAATCTAGCAACCTGCTTCCTGTTCCTGTTCGCATAAGTATTGTTCTCTCTGCCTGACAGCGACACGGTCAGTGTTCCTGGGCCAAGTGACGATTTCCCTTCCCCGCTCCATCAGACCAAACCATTCAGTAGCCCGCTATATTCTGGACGACGCCGAGCAGGACGCGAAGTAAACGAGATGTCTTCTGGGGATGGCGCCAGAAACAATCC